ACACTCCCAGGACAGGGACAGCATGGGGTTAGATACAGAGTAAAGCTGCATCTACACTGTCCCCCATCAAACACTCCCAGGACAGGGACAGCATGGGGTTAGATACAGAGTAAAGCTGCATCTACACTGTCCCCCATCAAACACTCCCAGGACAGGGACAGCATGGGGTTAGATACAGAGTAAAGCTGCATCTACACTGTCCCCCATCAAACACTCCCAGGACAGGGACAGCATGGGGTTAGATACAGAGTAAAGCTCCCTCTACACTATCCCCATTAAACACTCCTAGGACAGGGACAGCATGGGGTTAGATACAGTGTAAAGCTTCCTCTACACTATCCCCATCAAACACTCCCAGGGCAGGGACAACACGTGGTTAGATACAGAGTAAAGCTCGCTCTACACTATCCCCATCAAACTCTCCCAGGACAGGGACAGCACGGGGTTAGATACAGCGTATAACTCTCTCTACACTGTCACCATCAAACCCTCCCAGGACAGGGACAGCACGGGGTTAGATACAGTGTATAACTCTCTCTACACTGTCACCATCAAACCCTCCCAGGGCAGGGACAGCACAGGAGGAGCAAGGTGATTTAGTATGGCTGCAGCAATGAGAATGCTATGATGATGGGTTTTGGTGTCGTTCTCCCGTTGACACTGACATGCTGAGTCACCAATGCCCCCAACAGAAGGGACTGCCGACTGCAGTGAAAAGCAGTGCTGGGAGCTAAGCTCGGGGCGAGAAGAAGTGCTTGCTGGAACGAAGGATGGGATTGAAGTGAGGTGACAGCAAGGGGTGGCAGAGGTCAGGTTGCAGATGTAGGTTAGGCTTTGTGGTGCCCTGTGTAAGGCACACAGCCGTGGCTGGGTTTCTCAGCAGTGAGCAGCTGTCGATTTATGGGGCTCTGTGCATCACCGCACTGGGGTCTGGCCGACAGCACAGGCATTAGGATGGCCGGGAATGGGTTGCTCAGCTCGGCTGTTCTGTTGGCCATCCCATTGCCCGAGGCAGAGGTTTACAGGAAGCAGTGCCTGACTGCAGCGGTGATGGAGTGAGCGGCTCTGGGGCCTGTGAGGTGGCAGCTTCTTCTTTCACTGTCAAGCTGAGTGGGCCCTCAGGGTCAAAGGTGAACTTAAGACAGCTAGGGCAATGTTTTCACTGAGGCAGTCCCTGCCGAGGGAGGGGGAGTGGGGGGACCAGCATCCCTGGAAAGGAAGCCTCGAATCCAGTCACATACTGAATAAAGTTGGCGGAGGGGGGGGATAGTCCGAAACTCAGCATTTAGCTGTTGCTGGTGGTCTCCATTCTATCACACAGTTACCGAGTGAAGTTGCTTTTCTCAGGTATGAGGTCTCGGTTTACAATTTAAAGTTTCTTAACAGGCTGATGTATGGTTTTTGTTTCATCCTTTGCTGCTTAATCTTTTCATTTCCAGCCACGTCTGTCACTAACCCCCAAAACCCCCCCCCCCCCCCCCAATCCTGGTTCAAACTACCCCCACATGTAGGGAGAGGCTGACTCGATTCGATTTTGTCTCTTGTCTTTTTTTTAAGGTCAGAAATCACGCAACACCAGGTTACAGTCCAACAGGTTTGTTTGAAATCACAAGCTTTCGGAGCGCAGCTCCTTCATCAGGTTAAGAGGGGCAGCGCTGTGAAAGCTTGTGATTTCAAACGAACCTGTTGGACTCTAGCCTGGCATCGCGTGACTTCTGACCTTGTCCATCCCCCCACTCGAACAGCAGCACCTCCCCATCATTTGTTTTTTGAAAGAAGTTGCCCCAGTGGGACTTGTCACGGCCTGTGGTCCTGATGTAGTGGCACACCAAGTGAAACATGACCCACATTCCACTTCCATTAATGAATGGGGGTTAATCAATCAGTTCATTAACTGGGCAAATATAAAGGGGGAATGGGGAGACTGGTGTCTGAAAGGAGCTGGAAGACTCAATCCATGAGCTCTTGTGACACAGTGGTAGTGCCCCCACCTCTGAGCGAGGACACCTGGGTTCAGGAAACAAATAATATTTCTGAACAGATTGATTCGAAAACATGGGAAGACGGTTGGTGCCATCCACTGGTAGTCTTCAGAGAGAGAGAGACAAGTGGGCACTGCAGCGGGTGGAGTGCTCCATCTCTCCATGCAACTTCATTTTGATTTAGCCCCCTCACTCTGTTCACCACTCCTCCCTCACACTTGGTGTTTTTAATGCATCACTGTTTCCAGGCTTGGCATGGAAATTGGGAACATGGATCATTTTGTGGTGGTTGACAAAGGTGGAAATGAAACAGGGGTGATATGGTCACCAGGAAAGTGTGTGTGTGAGTGAGTCGCTGTGTGTGTGTGTGTGTGTGTGTGTGTGTTTGTGTGTGTGTGAGTGAGTGAGTCTCTGTCTGTGTGTGTGTGAGTGAGTCT